CTCCTCTGTTGTCATCAAGCTGTCACTCAAACCTACATATTGATCAGCAAAGTACATACAAGCATAGAACCTGACTTTTGCTTATCATTAAACTAGACACAAACCCACGGCATGAGCTGTTTCCTTACACCAAATATTTATTCCTCACAGGATTCTGGGTAAAACCATGTTATTAAAATCCAGAGCACTGACCACATGTGATTTAATTGGTACAGGACAAGATGCCCAAACATTGCAGAGACATCTTGGTCGTTAGTTTGTTTTGTTTTTTTGGAAAACAAGTGTTCTCCCTCACAATTTGTGACTGTCCGGTGCATATTTTAAACTGGCTGGATTTGAAAAAATAAGTCGCTAATTGGGGTGCACTAAGTTAAGCGTATCTCGCGCATGCCAGTTGATCCCTTCCTCTGGGATGTTAGCCTCTTAGCCGGAGACCAGAGCGCCGTCTGTGTATTCAGCGATGTTTTAGAACCACACAGCTGGATTCCCAGGGGAACTGGCCCAATTTGCCAAGTTCAGTTTTCATGCTTGTGAATAGGTACAAAAAGTCCAAACACCCAGATACATACTGTTTATCTGATCATAAATCCCAGTGTGATACTGAAGAGTCTCCATGCTTATAAGTTACTGGATGTACATAACTATCTGCTCTTTGCTGGAAGGAATGTGTCCGCCTTGAGATATTAAAAAATAAATGTTTGTGAATCTTAAATCTTAATAACTGTACTGCCAACTTTAGATATAACCCTTTTTAAACAGTTAACTAAATGAAAGCCCTAATCTCTAATGTAAAACATAAGATGCATGATCGTTTTGGAGGCCTGGGAAACTGCCTTCACTTTCCTATATTTGTTGCAACATTGTGTGTACATGTATATTTTCTCAGGTAGACATAAACATGCCATCCCTATTTGTCTCCGTTTCCCAATCACAGTTACACATGGACTGTTTTGCTCATGGAGACATTTTTCAGCAGCTCACCTAAAACCACCCTGGGTTGAACCAAAAAAAATAAATAGCAGGCACATTTGCACACACTGTTCATGAAACACTGCTCACTGCCTGGCTCATTGTCACAATGATGAAAACACACACACACACACACACACATATATACAGTACAGCCTATACAGCCTCTGTGGGACTGAGCTAGCCTATTTTCTAGACTAATATTAAGACTGATGGCAGCTCCTTTACAGGACTAAGTTAATCAAGTGGAGGATGAACTGGTCTGTGTACTGTGTGTGTGTGTGTATGTGTGTGTGTGTGTGTGAGAAAGAGAGAGAGACTGTGGCAAGAGACAAAAATCTGTTCCCCACAGGATGTGTGAGAGCTATTCCAGGGATCTTGTTTTGGCCATGGAGGAGCTGTTATGTACTTGTTACATGTCAACCAATGATTGAAGTATGGAGAACAAAGCGGCCTCACAGAAGAAACAGCTTCCTTTCTCTCATAAGTGTAGTGACGCGCCTACACAGACACACCAATACCCACCCTGACACAGACTCATCCCCTTCCTGGAGCGACGGCGTGCCCATTGAGTTGTGAAGGACTAATGCATTCATGCATTCTATGTCTATCTTTTTGTCTCTCTTTCTCTTTATGCATCAATGAATTCATGTCATGAAATTCTAAATGTAGCATGTGTGTGCGTCCCTCTCACTGATTACATTAACTAATTGTTCCATTGCCACACACACCACAGAGTTTTCAGCGGTTGTGTAAAGACCTCCTTTTTGGACATTATTGTGTTTTTTATATTTGACAGGAAATAAAAAAGAGAAGAAGAGTTTGGCATGAGTCAAGGGCGGTCTGACAGTGTTATTTCCATGGGGTGCCAAGTGTGATTTAGCTTTATTACATCTACACTGGAAATTAAAATGTCACTAAAATCGGACGTTTTGTTTTCTATCACCAAACCACAGATTGCCACGCACATCAGTTCCTCTCAGATGTGTCCGTTTACATTGACAGTAAACACCTTGTCTCACTTGTTTCCCCAATGAGAGTATCCCGACAATCAATTTCTGACATACAGTATATTTGTATTCTAGCTGCATGACATTGTTTGTTCCTCTCAGCCCTTTCATGCGCCGACATCTTTCTCTTTCCCGCGGCGTTTTGTAATTTTAGGACACATTTCACATCCCACCCAGGATGTAATTTAATGTTTCCTGCCAGATCAACACAATGGCACCAGTTCGTGGCACAGTTTGTGCCCACAGAGATGGACGTGCCTTTTTGCACTTTTTCCAGTTCTTCGTAACTGACATCCTAACCACACAGGCATAAAGAGAGAAAACTGCTGAAGTAAAAATGTGTGAGGATATTTTCTATGCTACAAAATGAATTATAAAGAATGCAATAAAGTGAAGCTAGCTCTTAAGGGATGAGATTCTATAGTTTGGGATGTGTGCTGCGAGCTGATGGTGTTGTGGCTTTGAGTCGTGCTACAGCCTTTGTCTTATGTTCTATGTTCTCTTTCCCTGATAATCCCAAATGAGACTGACTTCAAACAAATGACAGTGTAATCCTCTTGCATTATTGAATTCCAGTGTCAGTGACAGTGGTGCCTGTAGCCTGACCACAAACAGCATGACATTCAAACAAACAATGAATAATCTGATCCCTATGATTTATTGATCATCTGTGTCCTTCACAGATGACTTTGGTCCGACACCTGTGATGTGTTGATGTGGTCTCTGCTCTGAGTTGATGAGCGGTATAATTACCTGCAGGGCTGTTTCTGACCACTTTGGTGTCCAGTCCAGTCTTCCACTAAAACTCCTAAAGGCTTTGATCTTTTCAGAGCCAAAAAACCTGAAAACCTTTTTTAATTTTTATTGAGCGTTATTCAACTTTACTCAACTTCTAGGGCACTAAAATAGCCAGAAACAGCCTTGGGCTCAGAAAGCTAAGTGCAGTCATCTTAGAGGTTCCAGATTTCTCTCTGACGCACATTACCACAGTGATTCAGTATATAAGGACATTATTGAAGTCTCATTAAACGATGAAGGGTGTGTGGTTGCTGCTGACATAAACTTGAAAACATTATGTAGATCTTGTGTTGCAAACAATTATTGACAGCTTTCTAAAATTATGTGATTACTAAATAAGCTTTTAAAAGCAATGTTAAATGACAACAAAACAAAGCCCTTGATGAGAGATTGAAGTGTTTTTTTCCTGATCAAATTAAATTTTTAACTGAACCCTGTTTTACGATGGTGTTAAGTAGCTGCTCATATGCACTGTGGTCACTTAGGGTCAAGGAAGGCATGTTTGTCTTTGATGGGAGCTCCATCTGAATACCGCTTCAGGCATATACTTAATAAGCTCGTGAACTTCAAAGCAGCAAATTTGCCTTTGCCACACGTACGCCATTTCTTTTTTAATCAAAGCTTTAAAAAAAAAAAACATCTTGTTTATTCACACAAAGTGATGGCAGAAGGGTAGCAGGATCAGAGTACAAGGAAATGGTATTTTGCATATAACATTGCCATAATTAGTCAGACTTTGTTTGGATAATCCAGTGCATCTTATTATCAACTTACCGTGATGTTGTACTTTGGCACAGTGGTGCTTCTAGCTAAACACCAGCATGCTAACATGCTCACAGTCAGAATGCCATGCATAGTTGTTGCCGACCAATGGACAGGGAGACTTTTTTATCCTAAATGCTAAAAATAATTTTGCCCATTGTGAAGTTTGAAAGCTCACACAGTGAAACTGGAGGTTGATAGTTGTAGATATCCTTCACACGTGCCCAACATAGAGGAAGTTATAGACTTGTCATGCGAATGGCTCTCTGTGCTTCATAAGGTGTGCAAGTACAAAAAAAACACAGATGTGTGTAAAGAAAAAAAAAATACCGAGTGGGTGTGTACTGCAAGCATCTCTCAGAGATGCTGTGAACTGACACATTTGTAGAAATGTGGGACAACACTCCAGAAGTGCTTAAGAAAACACTGTTCGTGTGTATAGCTCTTTGGACCCACTGTATTTAAGCCTTTCTTAAAAGTTCTCATTTATTAATACTTAATGGTGTTCTATAAATACCCTTAACAGTGTAGAAGCAAGAATAGGAGGATTATGTTGTTGAGTGAATGTGGAAGCATGCAAACAAACAGTTATAGCTATAGACAAGAATGAATTGTAATTGAATGAATGGATGACAGGGAACATTCCACAGTTTTCCATGAATATCAGTGACTTATGCATTCAGGGAAAGCTTTAATCCATTTTAAAGAAAACACATCATAAAATAATTCATTTAAGTGCTCACTTTTGTTTGGATGGGTTATTGAGGCTATGTGTACACTAAATGTTAGTGATGAACCATCTAATGCCGATGCTTTATCCGCCCACTGTATCTAGTACGTTTGAGCCAGGGACACTGTGATGTTCCTTTTGAATAGGTGCATCGAGTTTGGCTGCTGTTTAGTACAGCGCAGGGTGCAGACCTTATTAACAGAGTATTGGGTTTCAGCGTGACTCCATCAGGCAAATAAAGGCAACCTAGACCCAGGACCCTATTAGTATGCTAATAAAGTCACTTCTCTAATGACTGATTAGCAATTCAGCGGATTTTGTCCTCGCTATGCTTGTACACACAAATAAATGAAATGCACTCGTAGCACACACTCACACATGCAGCATTAATAGTTTGTGCATTTACTTTTTATGTTTCTTATTGCTTCCAATTTATTTATTACCCTCCCTTCTTTGGTCATCTGTCTTGTCCACATTAACTTACCAAATAGAAAGGATGATTAAATTGTATGAAATACAGTGTTACTGTGAGGAACGCTTAAGCATGACTAATACGGATTACTAATACGGATTTTTCTTATTTTAACAGTCAGCCACAGGAAAGTTTATTTCTCTGTGCGAGTTTGACCCTCTTGATGTTTGATACATGTTGATACAGTGGCCCTTAGGGCACAGCAACAGCACCATCACTGATGACTCTTGTTCCACAGCAGTGTGTTATTGTGTTGGACATGGGACACATGCTGAGCAACATGTCTAACTCTCTGCATCTGTCTTCCTCAGTGCTCAGCGGCCTCTGCTCCAATGACTGTCCGGAAGATGTCAAGGTAAGAAATCTGTCTTTTTTTTTGTCTACTTGTTTTCTGTGTGACTGACCACTGATCAGTCTGGCCAGGTGTGTCTGTCTTTACGCACTGCACTTATCTTTCCAGGCATACATCTTAATCTTCCTCCAGAGTCTGCACTCAGCAATGTTTCTGCAGGAAGAGACAGATAGGCTGGAATATCCCAACTGCTAGCAAAACTTATTGTCTATGGGGAGAATCAATTTTATATTCAGGAAATTAGGGAAGGGGATTTGAATGTGTGATGCGTTTTTGAGCTCTAGGGCAGTATAAGCTCCTCTTTATATGTAAAGTACCTACCTTTTAGTGCAGCCTGAAAGAAATTTACAAAAAAATGTAAAGAACTAAAATAAATTAGGTTTGTTTTTATGTGGCATGATTTCCACCTGTTCCTGCCCTCCCCCAATATTTTTTCTTTATGCAGACGAGTAGCAGACTTTGATAATACAAGACAGTAGCCATGTTTACTGTATTGTATCTCATGCTCTTCCTTGTGGTTAAGATTAGCATTGGCAATAAAATATCACTGTTTTAGAAGAATGTTTTAATACAAGGGCAGTTTTTCATCTCCTGTCCTTGTGGGGGCTCGGGGTTTACTGCGTGTTGCTGTTCAGGGACACTTTGACGGTCATAGTCTGCTGAGACTGACTTTGTACAAATATTTTTATAATATATTATATTATAACAATAATATCACCCAACCCCCCCCAATCACCGGCCCTGTAGTGGGAGATGAGTGGCGAGTTTAATAGCTGCAACAAGCTTTACTAAAGAAAACAAACTCACCAATTGTCAAGAAAGTAAAGGAAAAACACATTTTCGGCATTAAACAGAGTTAGATGTGAAAATATTCTGGCTCTACGTGCTGATAATGACTCTGACCTCCCTCGCTCCTCTACCCTCTTCATGGCTCTCCTCTCCTCTCCTCTCCTCTCCTCTCCTCTCCTCTCCTGTCCCTGCCATGTCTCCATCTTCCCGAGAATTACAGTCTTGTTTGGAGCCTCTGCGAATCGCCTTGTAACTGTATTCCCTGTCGTCAGACTTGTTGAAATAAACGCTCAATTAACGATTCGCACTTAGATGTGAAAATACGCTAGCTCTACAGTAGTTCTTCCTCTCATTCGGCGGCTCAGTGTGTGTACTGTACAGTGTGTGTACACTGAGAGTCTCTCATTCTTCTGAGGCACACCATTAGCTAAATTAGCTAAATAAAATGACAAAAAAAGCCACAAAGCCAATCGCCGAAAGCTGAAATATTCGACTCTAACCAGGGTAACAGCAGAGGCCTTTTTTATTTAATTTTGCATTAGTCTAATATCAAATCAGCACATTGAAGGCTATTGAAATCCTGATTAAACAAAGCAATGACTCCGCCTTACGAGCTGTTCAGACTGAAAACAGCTTTGTGTAAAAATGTTGATGGGGATTTCAGATTCTGGTTAGAGGATGTAGTACAGTCCATGATGGCCAGTTTGATTAATCATCAGTTTGAAGGCTTATCAGATGCCAAAACACTTCATAGCAATATATAGTACTATGAGGGGAGATTCTGTAACCCGGAGCAGCAATTATTTTATCATCTCAACAATCACAAAGTAAACAGATAAGACTGTGCCTTACCAGATAATGTTGCATTGCCTTGCAGGAAGTTCTGAACTAGGTTCAGCTTTATTGTTTGTGTTGTTGAGGTCCCTCATAAAGGTAAAGAGCCCTCAGTTTACATTAGCTAAGCATTGTATAGTAAACAATGTTCTACTTTATTATGTTGTCTGATGGAGTTACATTGGAGAACAATTCCCCTTACAGCCAGCAGATGTTGGGTGGTTAGTCCCCCAAAGACAGACAGTCTTCGACCTCCGCCCAACTCTGGTCGGGAGGAGGGGCTTGAACGAGGGTCAGCTGACATGCTTTGACTTGTACAAATGCACACACGACATTAATGCATTGCAAACATACCATGAGCTCTTCAACTACAATGCACTTTCAGAGTGAAATGTAGCCATCAATTTATGGAGCACTTAGCTTTAAGCTATTTTTATTTATCCCAAAGAGCTAATGTCTGAAGCTTGTGTGTAGGTGGACAGAGAAATCTGACAGACATACAGCAGCCAAGCATCACCCCTTGTACAACCTTTCACCAGTGGAAAGCCCTTTGCAAAACACATTAGCTTTGACATCAACAAGAGGCTGCTGGTACTTTGGTTGTTTTGGTTTTCTGTCTGTCTACTCTTCCACCCGCCTGTTGTCTAACTGAAAGGTATGATGAATGCTGTAGAAGAGTGGAGCTTGCGGCTGTTTCTACTCCTCTCCTCCCCCATCCATCACCCGCTGTATCTTTTCATTTCACTCTCTTGCTCCTCTTCTTCTTAGTCACACCTCTCTTCCTCTGTCTTTCTTTGAGCCCACTAATCTGCTCCTCCGTGACTTTCTCCTCTCTCTCTGTCTCTCTCTCTCTTTCTCTCTTTCTTTTTTGACCTCATTTCTATTCCTCCCTCACCCCGAGTGTCACAGCATAAAGGGCCAACTCTCTCTTCAGCTGCGTGTACGTTTGCGAGCGTAACGGGCTCGCGATTAGCTGATGTAAAGAGAAGGATGGCTCGACAGATCTCTTCATTAGATGTCATCCTTTCATAATGAAGCGATAAGACGACCCATCTGTATCCACCCACATAGGAGCACAAAACACGCAGCCGTCACACTCATTTATGCTCAGTCAGATCCAAGCCAGCTAGGTCAGACGTTTACCGTGTCACCTAGTAAAAAATAAAGAAAAGAAACTGCTCAAGGTCACAGCGGTGACAGCATCCCTTTCTGTCTTTCTGCCCACTCTCTCTCTTGTCTTTCTGTTTTTTTTACTCCTCCCTGCTTGTCACTCCCTGTCCTCTTTCACCCTTGCTGAAGGCAAGCTGAAAAGATACTTGCAAAATAACAGAAATGTATCAGTTATTTTTAATTTGTTTTTTATTGTGTGTGTGTGTTTTTGCAGCCGTTTGGTGTTAACCAGCCAGGTCCCTATGTCATGTACACAACAGTGGACTCCAATGGCTACCTGAAAAATGCCTCAGGTAAGTACATTCTTTTTTACATTTCCATGGTACCTTTCACTTCGTGTGCTTAACGGCCCTCTTCAGCCACAAAGAATAGCCAGAGAGGGATTTATTTTTCTGAAAATGTCACTGCCTGAACTTATATACATCCACATCAGGTTTATTAATAACACAAGCTCCTAACAATGACAGCTGTCCTTAGTCTGACTGAACACCACAGGGTTTGTTTTGGAGGAGTTTAAGAAAACATACCATGAGAAGAAGAGGGGCCTATTGATTTTATTTTCTTGCTTTATTTATTTTTTTTATAAATGAGAAAATTGGCTCAAAGACAAAGGCCGAAGCAGAAAGGGCAGCTAGAGAAAAGGCAAAAAGAAAGTCCTCCCAAAGACTGCTGTAACTGAAGGGAGAATAAATCAGTTTGATAAGGCTGTAATACTCGCTCTGTGATGCTTCTGGAGTGTGTGTGCTTGGTTCCCATTATTCTGTCTACATTTTAAAGTAAGCATAGGACTTGTTGGATAACTTTGTTTCCCTGTATCTCTATAAATGCAGGTCTTGCTCACATTTGTATTTTGTAAAACATATCTTAATATTATATTCTTACAGGAAAGTTTATATTCAGCTGTTGCTTGTCAAGATTCAGTTTTAAAGTCCCAAGTTTTCCAGCACTATCTTTTAAATATTAGGCCTGGAGTTAGTGCAGTGGCACTGTCTATTGGATACAGTTTTCTGTAGTTTCTGAAAAGCTATCGCAGAAAAATATGTTGAAAGCTTGCAAAACACTGGAGGCCTTTTTTCCTCTGAAGTTTCTTTCACAGCGAAACTCAACAAGCTGTAGCTTCCTCATTTTTTCTGCTCGCTTAAGTCCAAGGTACATACCTTTCTGGGAAGGACCAGGAAGAATTGCGGTTGTACAAAATTTTGTTCGGCAGCGCTGAATTGCCTGCAGTCCTCTTTATATTTGTTACTTCTTTCAACAAAGTTCATAAGGGACGGTGATCATTAGAGTGTATTCTCAATGGGCTACTCCCTTCTGTCATTGTGAACCACTCCTGTCAACATCTGGCTGTGTTCTGTACCTTTTAGAAACACAAGGTACCGTGCTGTAAGTAGGAGCTTTTGGTCACAATTCTCCCTCTTACACAGATTATGACTAGCATTCCCTTAATGTCAATGGAAAACCCTATGACTGCAGCTTAATTAATTGTTATGTTGTACCTAGGATCACTGGGTCGAACACTACCCTACCCAATTACGTCAGGCTAATAAGGATAGAGAAATACGTATGTAGAGAGAGATAGACGCATAGAAGGATAAGACAAGACATTGAGGACAGCAGTGCTGTGCCATATTAGCTGCAGTTAACCTAGTTGATGTTACATTGTGGGAAGGACACAGAGCTGGATGAGGACAAGATGCCCTGACAGCCTGGGGTCAGGGATATATATAGTCTGCGTGTGCATGTTTCTGTGTGCAGCATTATCCCACTTTGTCAGATTTCATTGTTTCATTTATCTGTTGGCACAGTTGGAGTATATACATATTTAAAGAATGAGCAGAAAGATCACAGTCTAACATCATTATTATTTCACCACCATTAGACAGCTATAATCTCCTGGCTACAAAACAGTGCTAAACCTAGTCGTCAAATGGCTACAGACTTTTCAATTAGGTGCTCATGTGTGTCCAAGCCTAGTGGACAAAATATTAACCTTAGCCGTCCCGTATTTAGTTGTCTTAAAGCATGACAAAAGCCCAGTTTTATTGCTTCCACCACACACTCCACTGGTTTAAAATATGCAGTTACATTGCAGAGGGAGTGTAAGCAGTGGAGAGGGCTATCACCACCTGCACCCACGCCCACTGCAGTGAAGATGGAGATGGAGTGGGATCTAGAATCCCATTAAATGTGGAGGCGGTGACAGTTTTTAAATCATACTAAAGTGAGGTGCTGAAAGATATCCAATAATGTTGACTTTTTTTTTTTTCAGTCTGAACTTGAAATTACCTGAAACATCAGCAATTAAGAAAGCCAGTTATTGCACAGCACCGATGCAGAGCAAAACAAGATATTTTAATCTGGCTGCAGGGATTTGCTCCCAGTCAGCCATAATGACTTTACTGAGGTTTGCCAGCTCGCAATCAGCGTTTCTATTCATCCAAAAGGTGCTGGATGTGGCTGAGGTCAGAGCTCTGTGCAGGTCAGTCAAGTTCTTCCACACATAACTGGAAAGATCTTTTTTATGGACCTCGCTTTGTGCATGGTGACATCATCATGTTGAAACAGGAAAGGGTCTCCCCCAAACCGTTACCATTAAGTTAGAAGCACACTGTTGTCTTTCTGTTGACTTGCTTAGGAATGTTGTTAAAACATGATTGATGCAGCTCACTGTTTTTGACACAGTGGCATCCTGTAAACAAGCCTTTCTGATCCGCCTTTGAGGGTGATGTCGCAGCATCAGTATTTACCCTTTCCAGTTCAGCATGTGAATTAGTATTGTATTCTTCTAGATATGGTCTGTATATGGTAACGGACTCAAGGTGTGCTGGGCCAACAATACAGGCAGACAATCAGTATATGTATATAATTATTTTATGTTATGTTAGGTTAATAAGCAGACTGTTTCATTAAAAGCAGTGGAAAACCAAATTACTGGCAGGCATTTTGAGAGGTGAAATGAAGCAGGTTGGGACACAGTAGTGGGGTTGAAGACTCATACCATTTAACTTTTAAGCCCCTGGTTTTGATTCTTCTCAGGGAAAAAATCCACAGACACAAAAGATTTTACTAAGGGTTATTTTTCACTTGGATCCAGTCGGTCCATCTAGTTTATGTGAAGAACAGATGGTCTTGACATTTTGTCCACTCAGCCAATACATCTCTTTCTGGAAAAAGTCTCTGGATCCCTGGACAGTGTCTTTATGTTCTTGCTTTGGTATGTTCAGTAAGCAGAATGCTATTTTTTTAACATAAGAAGTCCTGGCATATTACAGTCACAACTCCGGCTTATTTTTCCAGTGCATGTTTGACTGGAGTGTACGGAGGGAGGAGGAGAGCAAGAGTAGCCAAAGGCTTTGCCGCCACAACTCCCCAGACCCCTCATTTAACAGCAGCAAAGTGCTGCCAGGGAGAAGGCTGCCTCTGTGTGTGCGTGCGAGTGTGTGCGTGTGTGTGTGGGGGGTGATTTAAAGTGTATTTATTCTGTAGCTTGTAGCTCGGGGAACAGCCAGCAAGGCTGCCAGAGATGAGCAATGATGGGGCGCACACAAACACACACACGCTCGTATACACACACCCACGATGTCTGGGCCTCTCCACTGGGGCTCAACGATCTTCACTTACCCTTCACCCTCCTGAAAGGGAAAAAGGAAAGGAGAGATTATAATATACTGAGAGACAGAGGCAAGGGCCAAGGAGGCACAGTATATGAATGGAGTTATTGTAGAAAAAGAGGAAGAAGGAAGGGAAGGAAAGAGTAATTGAGTGATGGAGGATGGAAGATAGTCTGTAAGTAAGGAGAGAGAGATGTATGGTTAGGAAAAGGCGGGAAGTGGGTCAGAGGAGATCAGGAGCTGGTATGTGTGTGTTCATGTAATTCCCTAAGATTGTTTATGTTCTTCAATCTTAATGTACTCTTAGTCCATATGTGTTCATATGTCCATACCCTGACATCTGTCTCTTTATGACCTTGCGTGTATGTGTGTGTATACGTGCATGTGTGTACGTACCAGACAATGGTGTGCCATGCCCCTTACTAAGCAGGTTGGATGGATGAGCACGGGCTGTGATTCTGACAACACCACACCTCATTATCAACTGACTCCTGCTGAGACAGGAAGAGAGGAAGGACGAGAGAGAGAGAGGGAGGGAGACAGGTGGGGTGGTGGAGATGAATAGTTGAAGTTATTCATTAATAACCTTTTTACTCCTCTCTCTCACTGCGGACACTCAGAGATGCTGAGAAGGAAAAACACCGCACTGTGTTTACCTCCGGGTTTCAGCCCACACACGGTCATCCAGGGCCATTTGTCTTTAGATGACAGGGGAACAGTGTTACATGTAACTATCAGTGGCAATATTAAGATTATAGTCCACAAACAAGAAGAGTAGATGACAAACAGAGGCACATGTTATCTACTCAGCTAGAAAAGTTGACTTTGATGAAAGTACCCCCACTGCCTTGAATTCATTAGGCATATTGATGGTAGTGTTGTTTTTAAAATGGTTGCCTTATGACGCGTAGGACAGGAAAACAAATTAACCTTTTTTTAAAGGTAGAACAACTATTTGGTCTATCAGCCTCTATCAGGAATGGTGACAAAACAGAGTTCAAACATCAAATCCAAAAAATCCAAAAAACGTTTTTGCATTGATAGTATATTGAAGGCTTCTTTGCATCCTACTATCTGTTTTTTGGTTTAGTGGGACATTAAAGACATCAAAAGATAATGAGACTCAAAATATTAATTAAGAATTATTTATTTTACCAGTAGTTTGCCAAATGACTTTAGATCATGAAAGTTCTGAACAAAACATCATCCAAATGTCTCCAGTTTTGTTAAAAATTTAAAATTTTCCAACCAGACAAACATTTTTCACTGATCTGTGGTCTTGACTGACTAATTGCATTGGCTCTGTGCATCTGCGGTTTTGAGTCTCATCAACTTCGTGGACTCCAGTAAACCTGCCCTCAAGTGTAATTCTTTTTATTTTTTTATTTTTTTTAATACATTCTTTGATGTATTTATTTTTGGGTTCAACTGCTCATTTATGCTAACCGAAGACTAACAATAATAGTTGTTTATGTTCTGTATTATTTGCTAATTAACCATCTGGGACGTTTTCATTGAAACTGATTGGAAAAGGGCAGGCCCTTTCAAAATATACTCTGCAGGTGCTTGATCACTATCACTATCTATCACAGGCGAACTTCAGTGAACCATACAACGTAGTCAAACTCCAAACCTTACCAAAGTCAATCAGAGAAGAGCGAAAACATCTTGTCTCTCTGTCC